TTCCCAGTCCTTGTGAGACACAGCCATATAATAAAAGATATTACAAACCGAGGTAGGTGAACATGCTATTATTATGTGTATGTCATTTTTACTGTTTGGTAATGCTGACGTTTCGAACTGAAGTAATATGCCGATACGATGATACTTTTAATTTGGTCACGCACTCGGAAGCTGCTGGCGTGATTTTGTGTCTTTCGTGAACGATTTTGAATAATATTTTTACGAGTGCCTGATCATTTGCTCCCACTGAACTTTACATATATTGAAAGACCTATTCTAGTATAGCTAGAATCTAAAATCTTTTGGAATTCCGAGACATGGCACATGGTCAAAATGACAATTCTTTTCACCGCCTAACTCGATTTTGGAGAACACTCTGGTTTTCTTTACCGCTAAGTAATTAGATTAATTCAATATTCTTGAAATCGTCCTTGCAATAAGCTGGTTATATTACAACTTTTCTACGCTCAATAGTTGCGAAATGCGAATCGAATGAAAATGGTCGATTTTCAGCCCAGTTGGGACTCGCTAAATTCAATGAAATTGAGTCTGAAAGTTAAATCGTAATTGTCGCTTTTCTCGGAAAGCCAAAAGTATTTCAAGGCAAAAACTACAGCCTGTTTGCACTCTTGCTAGCCTTGCCGAAGAAATTTGATTATGTTTGATTTTTGTGGGTATTTGCTCTTAAAGCTTTAAATCCAGCGATATCCAAGTTATAGTAAATCAACTGCAAAGTAAGGATTGAACCAATAACGTTAACAAAATCCGTCAGTTCTAAGAATAGTCAATGACCGTTCAGTTTCCCGGAAGTCAGAGCAAGCTAGCGACGCAGTCGTTTTGAGATCAGATTGACCTTCTGTTTAATTTCATTTTAGCCGTGTTTTCGGGCTTCCCTATTTACTATATCAGGCAACAGGAGAGCTTCTTGAAAGCTTATAAACGTCAGTAGTTATATTTTGACATTTCTGTTCATGTTTTGCGTGCCTGGTATGATATAATGTTCGCCTTGAATATACAGGCTGTTGATTTGCGCGTAGACTGTTGATTTAAATGCAACATTCAGTATCATTTCATATCAGCTACAGATAAAAAGAAGTTACCTCAGATGAACGAATGTACTAGACATGAAAGACTGTGTTAGCAGTCAAAAATGCAAATCGTGAAGTTTGAAGTAAATTGAACTGAACTGACTGGGTTGCATCAGCGGGTTGATACGATGTAAAAAGTAAACAATGTCTTTGCTCCTCTCCTTCAGCGTGATCTTGGCTAATTTTGTGCTACCAAACGTATGTTTTGCATACTTTTGAATTTACTTTCGAACATATACGGAAATCGACAACCTCTACAAACAACAGCTTAAACTGGCACGAATAAAACTGATTATGATGAACTAGTGTTTATAAAATTACAACGTAGCGACTCACTTAAGACTTCGCGCAATTGCAAAATCACCAAGACGGCCCAACAAGCACTTTGCAAATTAAGAATCGATTCACGAACGGAGATACTCACGATTTTGAAATCACAGGTTCCCATTTGAAAATAAATCAGCCTTCCTTTGTTCAGGTTTTACGTATAAAGAGTATAGAGTCTTAATCTGTCGATGCCGTTGATACGTCGGAGGCGTTGGAGGCTTCCGAGAATCCAAATGTCACGTGACCTCTAGGTTATTCGCCTATTGCGTGAAATTGAAGGAACTATTGTGACAGCCTCGTAGCCAATCCTCTTAACTAGCGTGTAAATTCTGGCTATCCCTAGCTACATAAGCACT